TTAATATTTTGACATTGTATTTCATTTAAAATAAAATTATGGTGTATTTTCAAAAAAAAAAAAATATATTGCACTTTGAACCTTTTCTCATGGGCCTACTTCCGCTACTAAAATTATTCTGAATATTTTTATTAATATCTTTTTTAATATTTTGTAAGTAGGAAATTAGATTTGTTTCCTAAGTAGTACCCTACCAAAGGGGTTGCTACAATGAACATGTAAATAGATATCAAAGTATGATTTATGATGATGCTGGTGTACAATTTGGGCATCAATTTGAACCCAATATAGAAGAGTCCCCGATTATGGATGCTACCAGGTTTTACAAAATGTTGAATTCCCATAATACTACCACGACCCCGCCTATCTCATACTGGTCCACTTCATATAAATGACACTTCTCTGCCTCATCCTATTCTTGAAGTCAGTCAATCCCAGCCTCATAACACTACATCTCAACCTCAATCTAATGAATCTCAACTTGTAAATCAAGAAACTGAACCGATGATGTCTCCACCGGCCAATATGACTCCAGCCACCTCATCTAGTACGGTTGGCAATGACGATGATGAGCATCGAATGTGGATTAAACCTGAAGCGGATGGGTAATTATACTAACTTGTATTTTTATTATTATATAAAAGAGTGAAAGATTCGACATTTTTATTCATGACTTATACACTGTTTTGTGTGTGTATAATATATATATATTGGATTCACGTGAACCCATATGTCATACTATAGAACAGCCTTTGCATTGGAAGATTGATTATGTATATATTCCCAGATGCTCCTCGAGTTTTATTGGTGAGCTGAGTTGAATTGATGTTATTCTATCTGATAAATGCATACTGTATATCTGTATGAATTATTTGCTAGCCAGAGGGATTCTAACTGAGGTTTTGAGTTGATAATTGTGTTACTAGTTCTGCATGCTGGAAAAACTTAATTGCAGAATTTCTGTATTTACTTGCATTCAGTGGATTGAGTGGGTATTAAAGTTAGATATTGATGATTATCTTTATATTGGAGTTCAATATCATAGCTCGAGGAGTTGGGTGTCAGTTCAAGTGTTAAACCGGCAAAATTCTAGTGCTGCTTCTTTTTATGGTTGTTGATATAGATCATGCTATGTCTTAAACTTCAGTTCTTTAATTTTTGTTGCGTAGTAAGTTTCAGTTGCATATGTACTACTATTAATATGTTACTGTGCTCTATTCTATGTGAATTCCAGTCTGAAAAGCTAACAAATGATAACATATGCTGGAAACTTAATACTGTACTAGTGGAGTTTGCTGTCAGATAACTCCTTTAATTATCTGCTGGTATAACTACTATACTTTATGTAGGTTTGATCCTCATAAGCCAGTTATTGAAGGTATTGCTCTTTGCATTCGTAGTAAATTTGAGCTAGCTAAACCTTCTTGGAAGAAGTTCTCACAATCTATTCGCGATATGTGGTTTGAGGAATTCAGGGTAAGGAAATTTATAATCTGGTTCATATTCAAATATTGTTGGTATGTTATTGTATGGCTAATGCAATTTTAATTTGATACATGCAGAAGAAATTCAAATGGCTACCTCAGTATAATGTAGCTACACGGGACAATTTTGAGAAAAGAGCAGCGGCAAGAATGACCCAACTTTTTCAAGATATTAGAAAAAACTTGCCTGTGAAACCAAATTGGATGGGGGATGATGTATTCAAAGAGATGAAGGAGTATTGGGAGTCTCCTGAATTTAAGTCAAAGTCCGAACAGAATAAAAAGAATTGTAATTCAAATGACGGCGCCTCAATTCATACATGTGGTTGTATATCTCATCGAGTGGTGATTTGGAAGAGAATGGTAATATATATATATATATATATATATATATATATATCTTTTTAAATTTATTTCTTCAAGAAAATAACATCATATTCAGTGTTGATAATATTGTATTTTCCTTTATTTCCAGAAAGAAGCCACCGGAAAAGAACCTTCAATTGCGAATTTTATTTTCAGACTCATCACACAAAAAATGAAAAATGTTGGGTAAATGAGAAAGCTGAAGCTGCTTATGTAAGTGTTCCTTCTTTTACTTTTTTCCGTAGCATTACCTCAGTGACAACATTATGATACAAACAGATATGCCAAGGGTTTAAAATTGAACTACCTTAGTGCCATTATGAAACTAGATAGTAAGTTTAAAGTCCGTTATATCTTAAAATAGAGTTCAATTTTCAGATCAAACAATTGCTCAACTAAACCTCAACAAGAGCACACGTTATTTCTGAATTCTGTGTAAACTTGAATCCGCTGCTCGTTAGATGCTGGCCTGCTGCTCGTTAGAAATTTAAAATGATTTCCTTTTAATGAATTCTGTTGCTGACTTACTGTTGCAAACTTGCAATTGCAATTGTACTGGTGGTTGTTCATTCTTCCTTATCAAACGTTTTGGCCTTCTTGCTTAGACTAAGTATATTTCCTAAGGCTTACTTCATGTACTATCGTTATGGACATAACTTTTTAAGTTATGGATGATGAGAATTGAGAAAGGAACTTTATTTACATAGAACAAAATACAACAGTGCTTTACCGTGGAGAAAGTGCCGCTTAATATTCTTCTTTAATTGCCTGGTTCCATATATTTCACGCACAATACTCATCTGTGAAATGCTTTATACAGAGTGCTAGCTTAGCACAGCGTGTCCAATGTCCACTCTCTATCTACATCATCTATTTACATTTGTAAAACATTTCCTTTTATTGGCATTATATAATTTCTCAAATAACTTACTTTGATGCAGAATAATTTTGAAAGAACGAAACAAGAACTATCAGCTTCTCAAAGTGCATCAACTGAGGTAGGTGACACTAATTCAGCAAGCCAATTAAGTGAAATGGATATTTGGGTGCAATCTGTTGGTGGAAAGAAAAAAGGAAGGGTTGCGGGCCTTGGCTCCTTAGGTCGATCTGTAAAAGCACTTAAGCATTCAACATCTTCTTTACCTGGACAAATTGATGAGATGATTAAATCTCAGGTGCATGCTTCCAATGCTAACTTATATGCTCAGTTGCAAGAAGAGCGGCGCAAAAACAGAAAGATGAGGAAAGAATTAGACTTATTGAAGAAGTACGTGAATTTCAATGCATCTTCTTCAAATGAGTTATCATCTCAAGAAGACAATTAAGGATCTGAGGATGAAAGTGACAATGACTTTGATAATGTGAATGAAAGTGGTTCTAACCTTGGTAACGTGAATGAAAGTGATTATAATTAGGATTGAGATGCTCATTAGACTATTTAGTTTTACATTTGGGATATTTTGCTTTTTGATGAAGGATTATATGTTATTAATATTAATGTTATGAATTATATTTTTTTCTTTGTTATAATTGTATTAGACGTGTGTGGAATGATTGTGATAATATAGGTGAATTGTAAGAATATAAGCTAGATTAAATAAAAAAAATATTTTAAAAATGTATAGATTACTTGCGAATTTTTATGGGAAAATATTTTGAAACGCGTTAATTTTATATGCAATATTACATACGAATTTTCCTACGATATCACTTATGGATTTTTTTGGGGATTTCAAATAATTCTTTTGTTTCATTGGAAAATTTACATGGTGATTTACCTATGAATTATTACTTGGGAATTTTACTGGGATTTTACATGCAAATATTTCATGGGAATTTTCTTGCGAAAATATACTCCTGCGGATTTTACTTGGGATTTTTAAAGGAATTTTCCTGCGGAATATTTTTCATAAATATTCACAAGAAAATCCCTTTCGTCCATAAATTTTCACCTCAAAATTTCCTACGGACTTACTTGAGGATCTTCACGGGGAATTACCTGTGGATTTCTTCCTAAGAAAAATCCTTTTGTTTACGAATTTTTACCAAAATACGCCTGCGATGTTTTTGATATGTTTCGCTGATAAATCCGCAAGTAAGTTACATAGGGACACAAAATCCCCAGGTATAATCCCCAGGTAATATACCTGGGGAAATTTTAATTCGCAGGTAATAATTACCTACGAAGGTTTTTCCAACGGATTTATTTTGGTAGGAAATTCCGCAGCAAATCATATTACCTGCGGATATGTTTATATTATCCTTAGGAAAATCCCCATGTAATTGACACTTTTCTTCTAGTGTATATGATGCCCTACCAAGAGGGATATTTATTTCAATGTGCAAAATATAATACTTAAAAGTGGGTGATACTCATCAAAGAATAACACCCTCTCTATTATTTTATGTGGCGGTGTTTGAATGGACATAGTGTTTAAAAAAAACTAAAGAACTTTGAAACTTTTGGTCTATAACTTGCCATGAGATTTTTGTGGCTATGAAAGTATGTTATTACGGGTAAAATTAAACTATTTTCATATATAAAATTTTGGAACAATCTAAAGAAAGAAAGAATATCACATAAAACGAAATAAATGCAATATAGTTTCAGATATCGCCAAACAGAATTATTACAAATGGTTAGGGGGTGTTAATGGTTGTTTGAAAGACCAATCTAATCGACTTAGTCCAATCTTAGTTATCAAATAGATTATTAGGTTATTTCTATAGAATAGTATCGTTGGACAATCGGCCCTGTTTTTTTCTTTAATAAGTCATCAAAGCGGAGGAGAAAGGGTAGCAGGTCAATCTTTTCCAACACCGATGCAATGAGAACATCCATTCGCTTAGTGTTCAACAAATTCCCAATCTATACTTGTATCGAATAATTAAGATAGGTTTTAGTTTTTAAAGAAATAAAAAAAATACCGAATCAAACTGAATAAATTTATATATAATATATTATATATATTTAGTTCAAGAAAATGAAGCATTACTATTTTTTTACCTTGGGCCATGGGGTGGATCCATATGTAAATAAAAACTAATAACATCCAAACTTACTCTATTACTGTTGAAATTGGTTCCAACGATTTTCAGTAGCAAGCTATCAAGGTATGGTTGCTTCTCCTCTTTTCTTTCTTCCCATTTATATTTTTTGTGATGTTTGAGTCAATTATCAAATGTGCAATTTTTCTTTCAAAAATTCTAGTGATGCTACTCATTATTTTCAGAATTAATGTCTCTTGAACTATAAAATTTTGGTAGCAACTCAGTATCGTCCGATATTTGATTAACTTGGGAGTGTAACTGTGAGAAATCAACTTTTAGTGGCGACACTAGAATTGCTGCAAGTACTTCCGAAACTGAATATTTTTGGCACATTTTCTAGCAACTAAACCCCCCAAAAAAATAATTAACTATACAATGAAAAAAGTTCCAACAATATTTTAGGTAGGTAGCCACTGTAAATTGACTGTTAGTGGCGACAATTAGCCGGCACCAAAGCTATTATACTTCAGTTAACTCTTGTCGCCACAATAGATTGGGAATTAGTGGCTACCATTTTCGCTACAATTACTAATTGCTTTTACGAAAATTCTGCCACCACTAATACTTATTTTTCCAACAATTGCCATGGCCAAAATTATAATATATTTCTATCAAATTTCTATGAATATTAAAAGCACCCAAAATTATCCACCAAACAATAAAAACATTTCTCAAGTCGATTAATATAGATATTTTCACGACTACACAGTACTTCATTGCTCATTATCATTGTCGATTATGTATATATAAAATTGCCTTCAAACTCCTCCTTGATCAACGCCAATTGTGATTGTTGAAGAACTAATGCTAATATACTACACAATACTTCATTGCTCATTATCATTGTCGAATATATATATATATATATATANCAGCGGAAGCAAACATACAAATCAGGCATCAAATACATGTGAACTAAACAACGCAATAATAACGAGATTAGAAGCACTAACCTCTTGAAGTAGTTGCACAAACCTTCCAAGCAGCAAGAATCCAGGGCTGCAGTCTTCTGCTATTTGCTTAGTAAAACCTTGGACGATTTTGCTATTAAATGAGCAAGAACAATACAACTAAAAGGTAAATTATTAGGTGAAACTAGTCTTCCTTTAATAGACCCGAAATTAAGCCACAATAAGAGCTAAAAAACATGTAGGATTCTGCAAGTAGAATCCTACTCTAACTGAAAAAGATAACTTTTCTCCCAAGCTACTTTTTACCCAAGTCTGTCCAGGTTTTTACTAGGTATAGCAGGGACCACAGAAATAATAAGAGGCTATTAATTATAGTATTAATTCGAAATTAACATGAATTAATTCTTACTATAGTTAATTGCAATTTATTCCACTAAAAAACTGCAATTGAACTCCTCAATATGAATTTCGAAAATTCATTAACACTTATTTTAACACCCCATGTTAAAATTTCAAATACCAGTTAATTAAATTAAATCACTGAACATTTAATTCAATTAACTATTTAAATCCTTTATAATTCCGCTTAAACTATTTCCTGTGACGGATACAAAATTCACCGGCCGGATTTTCACATGAAAACTTATAAACTTACATAAAAGGGTATCATCAAACCCAAAACGGAGTCATGGATTCTATCAACTAATTATTATTCACAAATATTATTCATTAGTGTCCAATCTATTAGGCATATACTAACTCTAAATAGAGTCGTACCTTTTGATAAATCAAAACAATAAACAAATTACATTGATCATAATAATTATATCAAGATTAGGAGTATAAGCTCATTTAATGAATTAGAGAAAATGTTTTACATATTCAGTAGAGAAAATATTTTATATATTCAGTACAAAAAAATCTTTTCTTTACTTGATCCGTTCAATATACACTGAGTATACTAGCACAAGAAGTTGGAGTAAAACTACTCCCATAATCAAGACAAATTATATGATAATCTTGTGCTACAATCATCAAGATATTTTGTCCAACAATACCTTTGATTGTGAACATAGTTTATTAATTATGAGAACCAACAATTTAATCTTCTGTGCATGAGCTAAGACTCCATACATTAAATTGTCTACTACATAACTAAAAGTATACACATGTAATAAATGATCTATTTAAAATAGTACTTTATTAAATTGAATAAATTAAATAAATAATTATTCCATAAAGAATAAAACATAATACTATGTCTAAACCACATGGTTAATAGTATCCCAACAATCTCCCACTTAGACTCATAACCATTCGTCTACTACTCTAACACCCATTCCTTCTACATGCTTGTCAAAATCTTCTGTGTCAAGCTCTTTGTAAACGGGTTTGCCAAATTGTCCTCTGACGCAATCTTCAACACTCTTGCATCACCTCTCTGAGATATGTCCCAAATGAAGTGATATTTACACTCAATATGCTTACTCCTTTTATGGCTTCTTGGTTCCTTCGAGTTTGCAACTGCACCACTATTGTCACAATAAAGTATAATTGGTGCTTGAACCGAAGGAACCACATTAAGCTCTTTTAGAAAGTTTCTGAGCCAAACAGCCTCTTTAGCTACCTCAGATGCAGCCACATATTCGGCTTCCATGGTGGAATCAGCAACACATGATTGTTTGATGCTTCTCAAACTTATAGCGCCACCTCCTAAGGTAAAAACATATCCTGAGGTAGATTTTCTAGAGTTTCTATCTGACTGAAAATCTGAATCAATATAGCCAATGTGTGCAAGATCACCTGAGTGATATACCAACATATAATCCCTAGTCCTCTTCAAGTACTTGATTATATGCTTAACAATAGTCCAGTGTTCTCAACCAGGATTAGACTGAAATCTACTAACCATGCCAACAATAAAGTAGATATCAGGTCTAGTATATAACATAACATACATAAGACTCCCTATAGCAGAAGCATAAGGGACCATCTTCATCTTTTCTATCTCATCAGTCATTTTGGGGACTGATCTTTTGATAGAGAGATTTCATGTCTAAAGGGGAGAAACCCTTTCTTGGAATCTTGCATGCTAAACCTGATGAGAATAGTATCAATATAAAGTGCTTGGGACAAGCCTAATTCCTTTGCTTACGATATCGCATAAGCTTGATCCCAAGGATATGTGCTACCTGTCCCAAGTCTTTCATATCGAAACGTGAGGACAACCATTCCTTTACTGAGTTCAACATGCTCACATTATTTCCTATTAGCAAAATATCATCTACGTACAAAACCAAAAATGTAACTTTATCTCTATTCCACTTCTTGTAGACACAAGACTCATTTTCACATTGATCAAAACTGAAGGTCTTAATCGATGCGTCAAAACAAGTGTTCCATGCCCTAGAAGCTTGTTTCAATCCATAAATGAATTTCTTTAATTTACACAACATGTGCTCATTACCACTTTTTATGAAACCAACTGGTTGTGCCATATAGATGCACTCATCAAGACTTCCATTTAGAAAAGCGATCTTCACATCCA